CAATCACTCGCGTCCCAAATTCTCAAGGTGAGGGGATGATCGATGGACCGCGCGTCAACGCATTAGACTTTTTATCTCGTTCGCTTTTTTCGTCCTTTTCCAGGCCTGTTTAAGCCGAGATTTAGTGGAGTCTACTTAGTTGTGTGGGGTGTAAGGCATGATAGATCGAAGGTATGCCTAGGTGGACGACCACCTCATAAAGGTAGTAGAAAGGCTCTGGATGTAGGCCGCTACCAACTGGCCATTATGGAAATTATTGAGGGAGGCCTATGTTCAGCAGTGGACGTCCTATGGCTGAATTGATGATAATAAAGACTCGAAGGTATGAGCAACCGTCGGTGTCAACTTAATCAAGAAATCAAAAAATGGTTTTAACTGGGCTCGCTTTTTCGAGAGTTATGTTACAAACATGACTACATTACAGCGTAGTTATTTATGGAAATACTAGCTTTCCGCCCGCGGCTTCGCCCGCGTGGAATTTTGTCTGTCACAGAAAAACATTATCGCGCGCGTCCCTGTTTCAAAAACCGGGATAAAAACTATCCTATGTCCTTTCTCGGGACTCAAATTATCTCTACGCCAAATTTAATCAAAATCGGTTCAGTGGTTTAGGCGTGAAAGAGAGACAGACAGACAGAGTTACTTTCGCATTTATAATATTAGTATAGATAATATCTTCTTTGCGCAAGCAGTGCTAGGCCCATGTGAACGCGTTCCTCAAAATGAGTTATAAATTGCATTAATTTTTTGACCTTATAATAAAAAAAATTAAGATAAAGATGGGATTATACAAGGCTTTAATGTAACCATAACCAACGCTCCCAAGTTCTAACATACGAAGGACAATACAATACAGAAACGTCAGTTTGTTTAACTGCATTCGCTTACTTGATTACGCTCCGCTAAGCTGTAAACTAGTGAGATTACTCGGCAGCACACCGCTCTCTGTGTAATGTGAACTAGCTTTAGGCCATCTATTTACTAGGAAACTATTGAGACGTTACCTATAGTTGGATATTTGTGTTGGACACGTTAGGCTAAAACAAACCCATTTGAAAGGAAAATTACATCGCTTTGTGTCAAATTTTGACTGAAACTGAAAAAACAATGCTTATCGATTGGCAGCATTATTATTAAAGATCATCAACATCATGTTTCACTGAAAGATGCTAAATAGTTTGAACGTTTCACGGATGCAGCAACAATTTTTCATAAATTCAGGAAAATTACACCATACTTACGCACTACCAGCACAACTTCCAAGTTACATACATTTTGAGTAACATTTTAGACNTTCTGGACGTTAATTGTTATCCAGTTGAGTCACGGCTTTAGGCTTGCCTAAGGGCATGTTAGCTGCAGGATTAAGGCTGACGTTCCACTAAAGAAAAACGTGTAAACTAAGTGTTAGGTAAAAGCAAAGGCATCATAATCTGTAACTAAGTAGTGAAGCAAGTAAAAAGACGTGCGAACTATCATTATCAGCAGGCATTTTTAATCTTCATTGCAGAAGCACGACCCTCTCTAATTTACCAGAGGTTGGAGGAGTGCCGACACACCCCACTCACCTCGCTAGACTGATTGAGGAGGCTAAGCAGCACTTCTGATAACATTACCTATAATTTTCTCTCAATTTTCTCAAATATCACACACCCTTTACTTTCTCCACCGAATTTGTAAACCATTTTTATATCATTTTTACAACAGCAAAGCTAATCTGTATTCTGTACGCTAAGAAATACGGGTTCATGTTCCTTTACATCAGTGTTTTTCCACCATTTTCATGACACGACACCCCTCCTAGTATGAAAAAATATTTTTCATGCATTTTATAATGATACAAAGATGTTTTTAGGGACCGAATACTTCAATCCATACAACATTATGCATTTGCATTTATTAGATTTGGGATAAATATATCTTCATAACTTTAATGTTTTTTTACTGAGGTAGTTTTTACGACCTCTCGCGACCCCTATAGAGGCTTCGCGACCGGACTTAAAGTTTGGAGTCACATAATAGGACAGGCAGACAAACGATTCTATTTGTGGATATCATACCATATCCCTCGCATCGCAGCTTATCTATCACTAGCTTTCCGCCCGCGGCTTCGCCCGCGTGGAATTTTGTCTGTCACAGAAAAACTTTATCGCGCGCGTCCCTGTTTCAAAAACCGGGATAAAAACTATCCTATGTTCTTTCCCGGGACTCAAACTATCTCTATGCCAAATTTCATCAAAATCGGTTGCGAGGTTTAAGCGGGAAAGCGTAACAGACAGACAGACAGACAGACAGACAGACAGAGTTACTTTCGCATTTATAATATTAGTTGGGATTGCAGGAACGGCAGACTAAAGGAAGCTATTTCAGTAGTGAACACGAAGGAAGTCCGAATGCTTTTACGGTCTACGGAAACCCACATAAACGTGTTATGTTTTGAGATAAAATTTTATATTTACCGTTCGTACGTTCGTAGTAAAACCGAGAGTCGAATAGTGGTTCTGTATTAAAATGATATGATTCCAAACGCAGCAATTGAAAATTGTATTCGTGGTAGGTATAAGTTTTTTTTAGCAATTTGAGATGAGTTTTCAAATTGGGGGAACTACTTGAATTGAAAATCGCGTAAAATATTAAAGGAAAAGGAATGAAAACGGGAGTTGGAGAACACGGAACAAGATAAAGTTAAATGAGCCGGGGTGAAAAAAACAACGGAAAATGAAAATGCATAATTTATGAAAGGCAACATCGAGTTCTTTCTATTCCAACTGGGACTTATAATTTTATAATTAAAACGCCAAATGAAGATTAGTCAGATTCGTGAATTAAAAATCCGTTTACAAGAAAGGAAAATGTTAAGGTAAAAATGTAAAGTGATCAATAAGTCACAAAGAGGACATTGGTCTTCAAATATTATGCTATTTTCTGTATTATTGCCAATTAGCTAGCCATTCAGAGCTAGCCATGGCAAAATGGATTAGTGTGTGACTGTGTGTTCTATTTCACATTATGACCACAACAGCAATGGGTAACAAAGACAAACAAGTTCAAAACAGCAAAGTGTTTTCGTTGCTAATTTAATCTTCTAAAGAGGTTTTAATTAAGGGCCGAGCTGGGCATTTATTTAAACGTGAACACTGCCCTACTTGGGGGTTAAAGCCATAAAATAAACGCCGAAGTTTTTGTTATAACCGGCAGACTTATGGCACGCTTGTGCGATGTAATATTTCAGTTACAGCGCTTATTAAGGCTATCGGCTGTGTAAAGCTGCATTTCTTTGCCGGTTCTTTACTAGCAGTTACCTTTTCTTAATTAAATGTTATTATTTACTAGCTTTCCGCCCGCGGCTTCGCCCGCGTGGAAAACTTTATCGCGCGCGTCCCTGTTTCAAAAACCGGGATAAAAACTATCCTATGTTCTTTCCCGGGACTCAAACTATCTCTATGCCAAATTTCATCAAAATCGGTTGCGAGGTTTAAGCGGGAAAGCGTAACAGACAGACAGACAGACAGACAGACAGAGTTACTTTCGCATTTATAATATTAGTTGGGATGTTTGAAAAATACAGGGTTGTATTAAAACTCGCCGTGTCGCGGAATACATTTTGGCGTAAAAAAATTATTTTGTTTGCAATTAAACTTGTGTTAAACTACACTCTAATTTTAAGTTACGACATGTTGATACCATTTTAAATGCTGACTTAACACCTTATGTACACATGTTTGAACAAATAAATGTATCTTTATCTTTATCTTTAAAAATTAAATTAGCAACATTACATAATAAATGCTACCAGCATAATTGGTTGTGTAAGTGACATCTTTGGTTTACAGATTTCCCAGCATAATTGGTTGTGTAAGTGACATCTTTGGTTTACAGATTTCCCTGAGGACACTACTAAGTATTTCAGTTGTAATCTTTAAGTTACACAAAACCGCAAACTTAGCTAGTGAATTATGCTTAAAGACCTCACCCTCACCAGCCAAAGTTATTAAAGTGTACCTTAAATAGTACGGTAGCGTAATCCCCTACTGTCTTCAGTAGGACAGAGTAGTTTCTAGTTCTAGTAGGTAAGGTATTTAACTCTTCTAGATAGAAGTGTTAAATAGAACCTACTGGTATCTATCATAGAGCCGGGTTTTGGTCAATGGTGGAACGTGGAACCCATATAATATCAGCGGGACTAAGAAATCCTAATTATATTTGCATACTACATAGAAACTAAGACTTACCAGACTTAGACACTCGGTACCGCAGTCCCCTTCCGCCTTTCGGATGGCATCGGTTATACGTTCCAAAGTCCCCATAGTTATTGTTCACTCTGCTATAATCCGCCAAATGCCGATTGCCGTCTAAATGGTTCGGCAATGAGCGGTTCCATCCCATGACGTCGCCGACCACGGAGCCGCATACGGACGACTCCGTCTGGCTCTTCGAGTCGCCATTGCAGAGGTCGCCACTGGAGCGGGCGCGGCGCCCCTTCAGACCCTTGGCGGAGTGCTGGCTGATGTTGGAGCCCATCGCTCGGCGGGACCTCAGACGGGCCCCGCCGCCCGCATCGCGCTGGCTTGGCACACATCAGTGGGACTAAGAGATCCTAATTATACTTATTACATAATTATGTAGAAACTAAGACTTACCAGACTTAGACACTCGGTACCGCAGTCCCCTTCCGCCTTTCGGATGACATCGGTTATACGTTCCAAAGTCCCCATAGTTATTGTTCACTCTGCTATAATCCGCCAAATGCCGATTGCCGTCTAAATGGTTCGGCAATGAGCGGTTCCATCCCATGACGTCGCCGACGACGGAGCCGCATACGGACGACTCCGTCTGGCTCTTCGAGTCGCCATTGCAAAGGTCGCCACTGGAGCGGGCGCGGCGCCCCTTCAGACCCTTGGCGGAGTGCTGGCTGATGTTGGAGCCCATCGCTCGGCGGGACCTCAGACATCAGTGGGACTAAGAGATCTTAATTATACTTATTACATATTATGTAGAAACTAAGACTCACCAGACTTAGACACTCGGTACCGCAGTCCCCTTCCGCCTTTCGGATGGCATCGGTTATACGTTCCAAAGTCTCCATAGTTATTGTTCACTCTGCTATAATCCGCCAAATGCCGATTGCCGTCTAAATGGTTCGGCAATGAGCGGTTCCATCCCATGACGTCGCCGACGACGGAGCCGCATACGGACGACTCCGTCTGGCTCTTCGAGTCGCCATTGCACAGGTCGCCACTGGAGCGGGCGCGGCGCCCTTTCAGACCCTTGGCGGAGTGCTGGCTGATGTTGGAGCCCATCGCTCGGCGGGACCTCAGACGGGCCCCGCCGCCCGCATCGCGCTGGCTGGCCGCACACCGCTCCTGGTTTGCCTGGACCCGTTGATCTGGGAACAAATGGGATTGTTAACTTTTTGTCCTTTGAAACTAAAACTCTATGGACGTAGTTAGATGCATGCGTTCGATATTGTTTCCGCATTACTCGAGAAAATATGACGAGAAGAATAATTTAAGCTTGTAATAAACGAATCATTGCTTATTCCAGATTCCAGAACGCATGTTAAACAATGGACGAACTTCCCTACGGCTGATAAGAGTAATATGATGGATACCTTGAGCATTTAACATAGGTAACATGCATATTTCTTTTTAGTCTTACACTTCGTTTAATATCATGGTACCAGAATTAAAATTGTTTTTAACGAATAGAGTAGACTTCTGGGTTATTTGAAGTTTTCCAGTTTGACACTATTTCATTACCAGGCTATAGAAGAAGAATCTTTCGTTCTAAAACAGTTATGCGAGCCTTAGCTTTGTACTTTATTAGGTCACTAGTTATAAACAAAAATATAATTCAGTCGTTTTCATACACGTCTAATGGTATTCGGCGTCTGCGTTCTGATTGCCTCTGAACCACAAAAACTCGTATAAAACTGTGTGAAAAATCTCATCGCGGCGTTGCTTGCGGATTTCCCAGACTCGAAGTCGTGTAAAATCGCATTCCCAAAACGATACTGAGATCTGGAGAAAGGTCAAGACACCGCGATTCGTGATAGAGCCGCGCTCTTGAAGATTGCGATTAAGAAAACAATGTACCGGTCTTAAACATCGAGACGTGACAAATTACCTCCGACACAACTCACAGAGAAGAGCCATCTCAAATGCTAATGTGCATTTATAATTTAACTAAACATGCTTTCAAGGCGTTTTAGAGGAGCTACTTCTAAGAGACAAGCAGTTTAGGTAAGCTTGCGCTTTACAGTAACGTTTCTGTTTCCTACACGTAGCTAGCTTACTTTAGTTTCTAATGTTAGTTGAATTCGCTTTGTTTGCATTATACTGCAGTGTAAGTCGTATAAAAGCTACGTACAACAAAAAACACATTGATTTTTCCGTTTCAGCTCTTCTTCTTCTTTTATTTTGGCGACGGCTTGGTTTTGAGACAATGACAACTTCTCAAAATGACAACTTCTTAAAATGTCAACTTCGCTAAAAGACAACTTCTCATAATGTCTATTTCTCACAATGACAAATTCGCATTTGGTCTACTTCGCATAATGTCAACTACTTGTTGATATTTTATTTTCATTATTTTTAGAGTTCTAGTTCTTCTAGAGTTGTCATTATGTGAAGTTGACCAAATGCGAATTTGTCATTGCGAGAAATAGACAAAGAGAATTTGTCTTTTAGCGATGTTGACATTTTAAGAAGTTGTCATTTCGAGAAGTGGACATTTTGCGCCCCGGTTGTCATTTTGAGAAGTTGTCATTCCGAGCTGAAACGGATTTTTCAGTCGTCTTAATTTATTTTCAGTAAGTAAAAATGCACCCCAACAATAACAAAAATCTACTCTATAATCATAGAGTGGGGCCAGTTGCCAGAAGAAAAAATAATTTGAAAATTCAATCCAGTGTCTTGGTCCGTGGACCAAGCTAAAAGTGGGCCACGTCGCTGGAAGACTCCTAATCTATTTATATAAAAATGAAACCCGTTTTCCGTTGTCACGACATAACATGAAAACGGCTTGACCGATTTGGCTGATTTTATTTGTAGTTTTCTAATACTCTGTACAAGGTTTTTACGGAAAAAAATATAAAGGAAATCTCTACGCTAAGATGGTACGAAGTTCGCCGGGTCAGCTAGTGTTTAATAAAATAAATAAACTTTGCGTCCCACTTTACATGTAGGAAGAATTTGAAAATAAATGCGGATGATGCGGATATGGATCGCGAATCACACGTATCAAAAACAAAGAATATTAAGCCTGGCTGTTCTATTTGTGTTGTGACTCCGGCGCCTCCATTCACAATATTTTGAGCGGCAATAAAGAATGCTTTACTGAGAATGAATCCGAGTTACTTAGTTTTTGCATGTCCTTCACCACTCCCCGGGGAGCGATGGGAAAGATAGATGGGTGAATTAAAAGCAGGTAAATGAGTGCCATTGTGTCCTTTGTTGTGCTCTAAAATGTTTTTGCTTTACGTCTGACAGGTACCTATAATCAGTGGGAATGTAAACATTGACGTAAATACGTGACTGTATAAAAGAGGCCTGTAGTGTAAGTTTATATTTCCCACTATACCAATGTTGTGCAGTGTTTTCTGGTCCATACATTGCTTAGTGACTAATGGTCTAATAGTGGTCCCTTAGGAGTCTATCAATGCAAGGGTGCACAAATATGTAGGTACAACTATTACTCTATTCTAAGGGCTCGTTACGTAAGTAATGCAGGATCCCACAATACTGCACTGACATATTCGAATTCCAAATTCGAACGGATCGTTTTTTGGTGTAAACAGGATGTTCGTGTGAAAGCCAATATTAAAACATGTTACTAAACGGGACCCTACACAAAAAGTTTCTGCAAACGGGATGTTGCCGTAGAAACAAGCCTTAACTATATTATGTCGTACTAGCTTTTGCCCGCGGGTTCACCCGCAATTTAGTTTGTCACAGATTGTCATAAATTTTAGCCTATATGTTATTCTGGGTTATAAACAATAATACTGTAAAGTAACATCAAAATCCGCTCAGTAGTTTTTGCGTAAAAGAGTAACAAACATCCAGACATCCAAACTTTCGCATTTATAATATTAAGTAGGATATGATATGAGACGCCTCTAAGTGACCACGACCGCTCTGAAGAAGAAGAAAATATTATCTTACTTAATTATTAGGTATTTGTGCTGTGTTCTGATGCTTCTATGTTGCTAGCATCGCAGTTATTTCGCAGCCGTGTAAAATCGATCGATCTCATACGATCTTAATTACGTTGTTGTTAATCAACAACTCTCAACGGCTCGCGGAGTTCTTTAGAAACACGCAGTCATACCGGAGTAATTTCGATGTTATTAGCGAAAATATTGAAACTCATAATGAGGATGTAACACACAAAAGTTTTTATGAAGTTCGCCGCTTGCGCCTTCTTACGGAACATCGTAAAATTGCGTTCTATTCATAGATTAATGTTGTTCTTTTGCGGTACAGTTATTTGTACTGTTGTCTATTTTAAGTATCAAACAGTCTGGAGATTTTTACAGTGACTCATCTAACGTGTGTAACAATTTGCTTTAGGCTTGAAGATTGCGTTTCATGAGAAAAAAATCACAACGACTATAATGCATTTACTTCATATCACGAAGACAGGTACATCAAAACTAGTTGATATTACATAGGGAATAAGGTTTAACCCTCGCTGTACGAGGTGGGGTGTGACACACCCCAGTCCATTAAAAATAGCCACAATTTTAAAAATTTGCAAGTGCTGAATTTGAAATTCTCAGNAGGTCCGAGGATCGTGGTGGCCAAGCTACTGCAGACCCCTCGTCCAATCCACTGTTCACCAAACGTATTATTCGCGCACTTGACGTCCTTATTGTGGGGGAGCACCATCCTGCTGGTAGTAGAGCAGTTGGTGTAACGCTAAGGGTACGTCATCAAGCATTTCGTCTAAGACGTCTTGCAGACACTCCAAGCACCATTTTGATTAAATTATTCGTTGTTTGAATACACTTTAGTCATTTTTGTATTATTTATAACGTGATTTGTGTTTGATGGATTTCTCAGTTTTTTACAAGTGTCAAAAAGACATTTTAAAGACAATAGATTGCAATTCATATTTATAAAAATACAATAAAAAGTAAAAAAGTCTCCATCGCCATCGCCAACAAGTGATGTGCATGCGTTACGATAATTAGTGGTGTGTTTAACAGCTTGTCGATAAAATAAAATACTCAAGATTAAAAAAAAAATTTTCGGGCACTATTTTTTTACGGATTTGTGTTCAGTATCAGTAATATAGTAACCTCTGTAAATATGGCAAGAATGCAAAGTAACACCCTGTATAATTCAGTCGTTTTCATACACGTCTAATGGTATTCGGCGTCTGCATTCTGATTGCCTCTGAACCATAAAAACTCGTATAAAACTGTGTGAAAAATCTCATCGCGGCGTTGCTTGAGGATTTCCCAGACTCGGAAGTCGTGTAAAATCGCATTCCCAAAACGATACTGAGATCTCGAGAAAGGTCAAGACACCGCGATTCGTGATAGCGCGCTCTTGAAGATTGCGATTAAGAAAACAATGTACCGGTCTTAAACATCGAGACGTGACAAATTACCTCCGACACAACTCACAGAGAAGAGCCATCTCAAATGCTAATGTGCATTTATAATTTAACTAAACATGCTTTCAAGGCGTTTTAGAGGAGCTACTTCTAAGAGAGAAGCTTTAGGTAAGCTTGCGCTTTACAGTAACGTTTCTGTTTAGTTCCTAATGTTAGCTGAATTCTCTTTGTTTGCATTATACTGCAGTGTAAGTTGTATAAAAGCTACGTACAAAAACACATTGATTTTTCAGTCGTCTTAATTTATTTTCAGTAAGTAAAAATGCACACCAGCAATAACAAAAATCTACTCTAGATTCATAGAGTGGGGCCAGTTGCCAGAAGAAAAAATAATTTAAAAATTCAATCCAGTACCTTGGTTCGTGGTCCAAGCTAAAAATGGGCCAAGTCGCTGGAATATGCGGACGATGCGGAAATGTATCGCGAATCACACTTATCAAAAACAAGAAACAGTAAGTCTGGCTGTTCTATTTGTGTTGTGACTCCGGCGCCTCCATTCACAATATTTTGAGCGGCAATAAAGAATGCTTTACTGAGAATGAATCCGAGTTACTTAGTTTTTGCATCTCCTTCACCACTCCCCGGGGAGCGATGGGAAAGATAGATGGGTGAATTAAAAGCAGGTAAATGAGTGCCATTGTGTCCTTTGTTGTGCTCTAAAATGTTTTTGCTTTACGTCTGACAGGTACCTATAATCAGTGGGAACGTAAAAATTGACGTAAAATTACGTGACTATCTAAAATAAGCTTGTAAGTTTAAGTA